TTAGGTAAGCCTCTCATTTAGCCATCTGCGAAGTGTGTTCCTGTATTTAAGTTGAAAATTGCTAGCCACAGCCAGCAAACTGGAAAATATTGATTGATGTGAAATAGCCAAAAGCAACCTGAAATGTATGAATTAGACACAGTTATGATTCAACATTATTATTCATTGCTTCAACAGGATTTGCTTGCATTTCTCTTTTAAAAATAAGAGCTCAGAAGCGTTTTGATGAATCAGTGTGTATATAAGTGCAAAACGTTAAACTCTTTACAATCAGGTAGCATACCCCAGAGGAAAGTTTGATTAAACTCATACAAATTCATTTACAGTAATTAACATAACTACTGTATGCTGTACTGCTGACATCTGCCAGGAGAGGGCTGTATAGCCATAGTGACAATGTAAAAACCTCTCTGCTCTTTACCGTTATTTTTGTTCCCTAAAAATAGTGGTTTAAAAACCCCTTCTGAATTCATAAATTCCATTAAAAAAAACCCAAACAAACAAAAAACCAACAAACAAAACCAAAAACCCCCAAAAAACCCCACTTGCTTGTGAGATTTAAGTGCAGACCAAAAAAGAGACACAGAATTAGACAAAGCTCAGCATAAGGTCTCCATGCCATCATTAAATGAACGTATTGGCAAGTGTTCCTCAGCCAGTGTAGCTGTGAGTTAATGACTCTGCAAAGGCCTAGGGAACTCACCCATGGACATTGCTGGAAATCAGTAACAAAATGCTAAAATAAAATGCCCTGGAGAGGGCAGAAGGAGGCTTCAGTCAGGAGAGAACAAACAGTAGGCAAGTGAGAGAGAGAGAACAAGCAGCAGGAGGAGATTCATCTTAACCAGGTTTCCTCCTCAGGTAAACAGTTAGGCAAATCCTAATCCTCAAGTCACCACAGGCTCAGTGATACTGTTGTAATCTTTTAGTGCCTTTCTGTGCTTAGTTGGGCTTTCTAAGCTGGTGAAAAATGCAGAGAGATCAGTGTGCCAAAAATCTGTTAGGTAGTGAGATACAATTGAGAGCTATAAACCACACTTCTATATAAAAAACAATGTTTTGACAGTAGTATCTTGGGTTATACTTTATATTATTCTGTATCCTAGGGCCAAGCATGGTAGTGGATGAGGACAGCTTGATGATTCCCATCAATGAAGATGCCTATGAAGCTCTTAAGAAAAGAGAGGACTGTCTAAGTAAACTTGTTCATGAAAAGTTTGCTTGTACATTGACCTTCAAAGGAACAAAATGCACGGTTGAAGTATACAGAAAAAAAATGAAGCAGGGGATTGACATTTGTGTTTGTAAGGATGATCTCACAAGACACAAGGCTGATGCTTTGGTGAATTCAGCCAATCAATTTCTTGATCATTCAGGAGGCCTTGCTTTAGCCTTTGTGAATGCTGGAGGGCCAGAAATACAAGCAGAAAGCAATCATTATATTCAAAAGCATGGAAAACTGACAGCTGGCAAAATAGCAGTGACGGGTGGAGGGAAGCTCCCTTGTAAAAAAATTATTCATGCAGTTGGTCCATTGTGGGTTGTTTCTGAAAAGGAAAGATGTTGTGACCTACTTCAAGAAGCTATTTTGAATGTCCTGAAGTACGTTAGTATGCAAAAAAATGATATAAAGTCTGTGGCTATCCCAGCAGTGAGTTCAGGTATTTTTCAGTTCCCGCTCGATTTGTGTGCTCAAGTGATTGTAAAGGCTATAAAGGAATTTATTGAGACAAGTCCACCAAGCTGTCTCAGGGAAATTCACCTGGTAAACCCTTATGAGCCTGCAGTTGCAGAAATTAAGAAGGCCTGTGAAAAGTTTCTGGGTGATACCAGTTCACTTCAGGAAACTCTTTCAGCTTCATCAAGCCAGCTTTCAACTTGCATCAAGCATGGAGGTGTTCGCTTGACCATCGTAAGAGGATTCCTTGAAGAGCAGAAGGTAAGTCTGTCCTGTGATATGCTGAACAAGGAGTTGCCTCCCAGTCTTCGTAGGATTTGGAGCCCAAGAGTTCAGAACATATATTGATCCACTAAGTAGTTATCTTCTCAGCCTGATGAGAATTTACAAATAAATTATAGCGGCAAGGAGTTGTTGGTTTTGTTTGCTGTTTTTTTGTGGGTTGTTTGTTTGTTTGTTTCTAACTGGCTATTAAAAATCAGAACATTTTTATTTCGTTTTTGTACGCATGCTGTTATAGTGTAACAGAAAGCAGCTAAAGATTGGATAATTAATAATAACTTACCCCTATGCTAATGTTTATCTTATTATAACGTCATGGGAGTTCACATTTTATCATGCATTCCTTAAAAGTCTACTCTTATTTTTTGCCTTGCTTTTTTTCCTGTAATTTATGTTCTCACAGATGCCACTACTGGAGTTACTCAGCAAACACTGCAACAGCTGAAAATAACTTATACAGATGATGTGCACCTTACCTTTAAACAGTGCATCATTTAGATCGGTTTGTTTAATTTTTTAGCTAGAAAATCTGACGCAAAATATATGAGCTTAGTCACAGTAATCTGACAGAGCTCTTAGACTGGAAGCTACATCACAGGGATGGCATTTAGCCATTTCTTAAAAGATACAGTATTTGCTAAAGGCAAATCGTAACTTTTATTTTAAAGAACTTTTATTTTAAAGAAAGTTATTTTTGTTGATGTGAGAGCAAACGATTTCAAAGTTGACACTGTGGGGAATTTTATTAACCAATTATACAGCACTGAAAAATACCACATGCCTTCAAGACTAGGATGAAAATATGCTCCAAAGTCTTGTAACTTTAGGTAATCTTCACCAATTAAAAGTTAGAACAACCACTGCTGTTATCAGCATTCTGAAAACAAGTTTTTTGCATTTTACATATTTAATTTAAAATATAGAAGACCTGTAGGAATCTGGTCTTTCCACTGGCATTTGAAGCAACCATAGCTTTGGAGTTCCCCTGTCTGCACTGACCCTGCTAGTCTGGTGACTAACATGGGGAGCATCAGCAAGGGCTGGAATAACAGCCACAGCCATAGTTCTCTCCTGCTTGTTGATAATTGGCTGCAGAATTGCATTTGGTGAGGCATATATGGGTCACTTCCATAGCTGAAGTAATAATTCTGTTGAACACACTCAGATGACTGGAATGGGTCTTGTGCATGCTGTTGGCTTCTGAAAAGAATGTAGGCATTTACTGCCACCAGAATGTGCGTACTTTGATGTATTCCAGCACTGACCTTAGTAATAAGCAGTAGAGAATCTTTCAAACAGCTGATGTGCTGCAGCCAGGCTTTTTTAAAATGAATTGTTCCTAGAAAGAGTGCTCTCTGTAGTAGCAAAGCTTGCAAATTGCAAACTTGAGGTATGAAACTTTGCTTTTTTTTTCCAGACTACAGCTGTTGTTAATTCTGTATCTGTGAATGGCGAGCCCTACTCTCCAGTTGCAAGAACACTGCTGCAAAAAGCAGGTTCAGCTCTTCAGGATGAACTGAAGTCTCATCTTAAAGATCTTTTGTCTTATAAAATCTTAAGAACAAAAGGTTATAATCTACCCTGTGAGTTTGTGCTGCACATTGTATGGCCACAATACCACCACCCAGTGCTTCTGTGTGAGGTGATAATCGGTTCAATTGGTTTTTAATTCATTTTCATCTTGAGTGATGTGGGGACTAAACCATTTGCTTTTCATGCAGGAATTAAAAGATGCAGTGACCAGATGCCTGTATTACGTTCAGGACTGCCAATCTCCCTCAGTTTCTTTTCCAGCAACTGGCATTTGCTCGTCAATGCTGCCTATTGATGAGGTGGCACAGATCATGATTGAAGAGGTTTTAAATTTTGCCAGGGCACAGCCTGAGAAGAAGATAGATGTGCAGTTTGTCCTTTACCCAGATGACAACGATAACTATCAGGTAACAAATATGTTGTTAACTACTAAAAATGAAAACCCAAAACTGTAAAAATATTATCATAGATGACTACTGTTTAAGAAAATCTGAATTCTGTACTATTTACAATGTTTGTGAGCAGCAGGTCCCTTTATGAAACTATTTGTCTCACTAACAGGTATTACTGATCTTTACAGATCTTTATTTATCTTCACTAAACCAGAAGTCATCACTCTGTGCCTTGATTAGAAGGGAAGGGAGCTCTGAAATTCTCATGACTGCCAGAAAATTTATAAGAAAGAGTCTACTCTTAACTCATTAAAGAATGAACTTATTCCTCCTTGGGAAATTTCTTTAACCATTTTATTATTTTCTTTCATATAACGCTCCTAGGGCAAAACACTATCAACATGTTTTATGACCTAGTGTGATACAAGGGTTGCAAACAGACAGTGGGTAATTTTAACTGCAGTGAGCCATTTTCCACCTTGAATATTTAGCTGATGTGATTAATACATAGCTATTTTAGATAGCTATAAAAGTACAGTTTGCTTTTTTCCCCATTTAACTTCAACCATCCATTGTTTCAGCTGGTGCAAGAACTAGGTGGAGGGCAGTCGGAACTAGATGATCTTTAAGGTCTCTTCCAATGCAAACCATTCTATGATTGCGTGATTCCAAGATCAGATTCATGTTCTGTAACTGTTCCATAAACTCTAAAGGAAGCTGTATGGCAGCTATGTGCTCAATCCCTTGATAATCAGGGCACATCAGAAACTTTTTGCTGAAAAAAGGAAAGGCAATTTGCCAGATGCCAAATCCACTGCCTGCCAGAGCAGCACTTCTCAGATGCTTTCCATGTGTGACCATGAAGAGGACTTTTGAGGTAAAGGTAGGGGAATAGTTTGAGTTTTAAAACTGAGTAGGGGTTTGTCAGCATTAAACTGCAAGTAACGAACATCTTTTTCTGGTGTGGTTCCGTGAGTCCCAGATATCCCACAACAACAAGCAGTTGTTAAAGCTGCTATTCAGTGTACAAGGGGCGTCTTACCTTAGGAGATGTAGAAGAACAGGAATGCTTTTGGTATCGTCAGGAATAAAATTTGGGGAAAAGCTGACAAACGTCCACTGTTAATAATTTCAGAACTGGGGGGAAGAGGAAGCAGCTGTAAACTGCTTATCTATCAGAGTTTTGAAAAGACAAATTGTGTATTTGACAACAGAGATTTCAAACTGTGCCTGAATGTTTTTCTTCCAAGGTTTTCCAGAGAAAATTTGATTTGGTAACACACACACTGGGAAAAAGTCAGTATTACAAGAGAAGTGATCATTTGAGTAAGTAATGGGCAGAAGGGGCATTTCAAGTAAATAAGCATTCCAGATTTGAGAATCTGAAATCACATTCCTTTAGAAAGAACTCAGTGTTTGCATGTTTCTTGGGGGAAGGAGGAGGCAAAAATATGTGAGTGCTTTGCATTTTTACATTGATAGGAATGGAACTGGGCACTCCCTTATAAGATTTTAAACATAAAAATCATTGTGCTTAACCTGTTGGAAGTATATAGTGGAAGGCAAATAAATTTTGCATGTGTGTTTTGGTTTGGTTTTGTGGGTTTTTGTTCTTCTTTTTTGTCCTGGAAACCTTACCTCCTGGTATGTAAACTCTTTTTTGTTTTGAACATACCAGATGAGCAGTGTGTTTCTTGCAATCTACATCTTGGATTACACATAAGAAATTGTGACAGCACTAGAAAGCTCTTCACTCTTCAAGTGCACTTCTAAAAAGAAAATAATTTTCTTTCAGATACAGAGTCAGGCAGTCGAAGTGTAAAAAAAGCTGCAAATAGTGAGCCTGCTATTGAACTTAAAGGGAACACACCTATGGCATTGGAAGCAGCAGAATCGTGGCTCCAAAGCATGATACAAATTGAGGGAAGTCACCATGCTGTTATTGAAAACAACTACATTTTTAGCCTTGGTAGAAAGGAGTTTGTGGATCTATCTCAAGAGCAGCTTTCTAGTGTATGTGTATCAGAAGTGGTGAAAGGTGGAAAAGCAAGACTGGAATTTTGTGGCCCTCCTGACGCTGTGATTGGTGCGGTGCTCGCAACTGAAAAATTACTGCTTCGTATGCAAGAGGAGACTACAGCCAAACAAAAGGAACTGCTGTACTTAATGAGTACGTAAACTAAATAAGTGACTAATGAAGTAAGTAAAGTAAGTGCCTAAATGAAGTCAAGTATGAAGCAACATCTATCTGTGTATTGCTGAGAGTGGAGACTATTCAGTTCACATACATACTGAGCATACCTTTAATTACTGATATTACTGTACTTTGATCTCTGAGCCCCTGAAAGACCATTTGTTATCTTTGGTTACCCTCTTGGAAGTATTCCCAGTTGGGCACAGCTTATAGACGGCCTGGCCATCATTGTAGACCCAGCTGTAACTGGCTTCCTCCAGGACAGCATCACTTTACAGCTTGGCCACTGGAGACTGACAAAACTTGCACTTGATAAACACATACCTTTGCTGAGCTGTTTTGCTAGCTGCAGCTTAACACCTGCTGCAGGACCCACCTTGGCCTTGTTCTGCAGAGTCCTTGTCTTTCCTTGAGGATGATAAGGGGGCTTGAGCCATATAAAGACAGGCTGAGAAAGTTGGAGCTGTTCAGCCTAGAGAAGAGAAGGCTGTGTGGAGACCTCATGGCAGCCTTCCAGTATCTGAAGGGGGCCTACAAAGATGCAGGAGAGGCACTCTTCATCAAGGACTGTAGTGATAGGACAAGGGGGAATGGGTTTAAACTGTAACAGGGGAAGTTCAGGTTAGATCTAATGAAGTTCTTTGCTGTGAACTGGAACAGGTTGCCCAAGGAAGTTGTGAATGCTCCATCCCTGGCAGTGTTCCAGGCTAGGCTGGATGGAGTCTTGGGTACATGGTTTAGTGTGTGATGTCCCTGGCCATGGCAGGAGGGTTGGAACGAGGTGATCTTAAGGTCTTGGGTTGGATCTTTCCAACCCAAACCGTTCTATCATTCTATGATTAAGTTGATAGAAGTAGTGCATTACAGAAAGCTACTGAGCGATCAGTTTTTCCCCATCTTTGTATAGTCATTCAATATAGATACCATTATGTAAAAGTTGAGCTGTGGAGAGATGTAATGGAGAAGATCAATTGTTTTCAGTTTTGGTTTGTTGGTTGTTTTTGGTTTTTTTTGTTCACTCTCTTTCTGGTTTCTTTAATAAATACAGGAAGAAAGAAAAAAAAGAAAGAATAAATTAAAATATACATATGTATCAGTCCCTCTCAATATTAGCCTGTGGCATTACTTCAGAGAATATTTAACATTCTTTGTTTTTAACTAAACTGTGAAACTAAAGTATTGGATCCTTCTTCCTTGCCTGTACCTCAGATATTATGATCGATGAAAATTTTACTCCCTTATTTGTAACTAGGCCAAGAAGAAGGACACCTTCACAAGACAAATACTACTGAATGCATCCAGATTTCACTGATAGAATCACACCTTCAGGAGTTTAAAGAGAGAGAGAAAGAGTTTGAAAAAGCTGGGCTTTGTGTTCTCAAGGTAATGAGGGTAATAATGGAAAAAAATAAATCTCAGCTGATATGTTTGAACTAAACATGCTTAAAAAACTCAAGTGAACTATTTCAATATATTGCTTTTAAAAGTTAAGATCAAATCAGCCTAATCCTTAAAACAAATGTAGTCTTTACTGCTAATAAAAAGTATTTTAAAGCATAATGCAACTCCAAAATTGTGGTTAAATTCTGAGAAGTCTTTTTAACTGTACTGTATATTCAAATGTTCCCTTGTAGGACTCTAGAGAAAGATGAGATTGGTATGTTAGAATGAGCACAATATTCCAGGACACTAATGCAGCATGTCTGTTTTCTTCTTGTGTAACCATGTTTCTGAGAGACATGGAATAGCGATGTGGTTCTTTTTCTGTGGATCAGCTGCACACTTCAAATACCTGATCTGCTCTGTGGTCAGTGCCTTTAAGCTAAATCTAAAGTTCTGCCACTATAGAACATAGCCTGACCAAAAGCACTCATGAATTTCATGGGTATTGGTGTCTGTCTGCTTATACTACACTATTATTTATGTCACAGATTGAAAAGATACATAATCCTCTTTTATCTGCTGCATTCCAACAAATGAAAAAAAAAGTAGAAGAAAACCAATATACCTACAAAACAACACACAAGTTGTACCAGCGTGTTCCGGTGCAGTTCTGTGACTTGGTGTGCCAGACTGGGTTTCACAGGATGTATTCTCCACCAACAGGTAATAATTTGCTTTGGCATCTTTAATCAAAATGAACTTAGTGACTGATTACTAAAAAGTTGGATTAAAATAATAAAAAAAGCATTCCTAAACAAGAACTGTTTCTTACCTGTATTTAGAGTTGTATGAGCTTAATTTTTTATCTGTGGTAAGATTTTCCTGGTGTCCTTCCTGGTAGTCAGTATGGCTCTGGGAGGACAAGGCTGGATTCTAGCCTAGCCCAGACACTGCTGACAGAATTGTTAACATACACACACATAATGCCATGTCCATGTTTTCTTTTATTGTGTCACTCTTTAAAAAAAGTCAGAAGTCAGCGTCTTTATTTACTTGCTGCAGCTTGATGTTTTAAAACATGTTCAAAGGAATCACAGAGTAATTAAGGCTGGAAGGTACTTCTAAGGGTCATCTAGGTTAACCCCCTGCTCAGATCAGGTGCAGTCAGAATCTGACTGAGCAGACTGCCATTCGAACTAGGTTATGCTTAGGAAGAAAGTTGTGGTGTAGTAGACAGATGTTTTCAGAAATGGAAAGGATAAGCAGTTAGTGCTTCATCCTGCAATAGGGGAAGGGTGTGAAATTTTGCTGGTCAAATGCAGAACTGGGATTTCAGACAGTAAACTGTTCCAAAAAGGGAGGTTTGCCTTTCCTTGTCTCTGCAGTATATGTGGCACATTTTCACCCTTTCAAAGTAATAAATAGGATGATGGTCTCATTTAATTTATTTGCAGTTTTCCAGGCCATACACAAATAGCATTTTCATACAGCGTTCTTATAAATCTCAAAGCTTTTATTTTGTAGTTTGTTATTAAAATCTTGCTGCCTTATCAGAGCCCTTAGTACCTGCTGGCTGAAGTGTTTATATAAATACATTATACCTCGATGTTTCTATCACTGGATTAACAGTTAAAGCTGAATGGTCATCACTGGAGCAGCAGTTAAATCAGAACGGCCATCAGCTGTCACTGCTCGTGATTCCAGTGGGAGGCCAGTGCTAGCATTAGAGCCACTTAATGCAGATTTACTTGTAAGAGGATGGCACACATTCAGCAGTAACATGAATGTAATAAAACATAATACTGAATCAAGAAGCAGTCTCTTAGTGCAACCACCCCACAAGAACCAATTGTTAAAGGCTTTTTTTTTTTTTTCCCTTCTAAAAATATTTCTTTCTTTTTCCAGAACAAAAATGTGGAGCTGGCATCTACTTTAAAAGGAACCCGAAAAGTCTAATCGAGGATAAAAACACATGGAAAACAGACTCTAAAATGTATGTGTTTGAGGCTGAGGTATTAACAGGCTTATACACTAAAGGCAACTCATCTTATATTATGCCACCAGCAGTGGAGGGGGATGCCATTAAGGTATATGACAGCTTGGTAGATGATGTAAACAATCCTGACACCTTTGTCATCTGCCAGAGTGCTCAGGCCCTTCCACGGTATTTGTTGACTTGTTCCCAAGTGAGGGAGATGTATATGGCCCTCTGAGGAAACCAGCAGTATCCTGAACAAGAATTAATCAGAGCTGTAGCTATTGTGAAGCCCCCTCAGAACAGAGTCTGGTACTTAGAGAGGATGATCTAGCTAGTAACATGCTGTGATCAAAGTGCCTTGTGCAAAGTGCTCTGAAATATCCATGAACAAACGAAGTAAGTCAATATGTCAAGGAGGTTAGAACAAAACTATGTGTGAGTGGAAGCAGAAGGAAAAGCATCACAAAATACAGTTTAACATTTATCTGGTCATTTATGCCTTAAAATGCTCTTAGCATGTGACTATACACTTGATGTTTGCATAGGTTGTTACTCTTGCATTACGCTTTCTTAATCTGAGATATTATGTATGTTATTGAAACCCAAGAAATCGTGATTGTGCCTTTGATTCTTAATTTTTCTTTTGACTTAACACATAAATGTATCAGGTGAAAGCTGTTTCCCACTCTGGGACATGCTATTAAATGCACATAGTTATGGTAAGTGTGAGGTGATAAATACTTCATGTTTTCTAACAGTAGTTGTTATTACAGTTTTTATCAGTTAAGATATTCCGAGCATTGTAGGTATATGTATTCAAAACAAAAAGTATGACTGATGCTATTATTTTTCCATATAGTCTTAAAAAGTTGACTTGACTGTAATCGAGCTTCAGATTTTCTCAGTGGCACTGAATCTTTTTGAAAGGCTACAGAATAGTAGAGAACTGATTCAAGCTACAGTGTGAAATTTCTCTTTACTTAATCTCCTTTACTGGTATCTTTTAAAGATTACCGTGTCATCCTTGTAGCCAGGTATCCCCCAACACAGGGTCTGGAGTGTCCCGAAGCCAGTGATTGGAAAAGCCTAAGAGCTACTATACTTTCGCCAATGTAAAAGGGGATTCAGTCCAGCTCTTGGCTACTTTGAAACTTTCTGTACCAACACCTGAAGCTATGCCTGATGTTAGCAGGATTCAAAACAAATCTACTGCCCCCATCTAAAAGCTACCACCAGATTTGTCCAATCTGAAGCATTTAAAACTATCAGTTACAGCCCTAACAGTGCTGTAATACAGAAACAAAGGCTCGTCTGTCAATATCCTGTCTGCTTCTAAACTGGAAAGCCACCTGTGGTTAAAATAGTAATTATATGGGGAGAAGAAGGACTTGCATAGAACCACTAGAAACCGACAATGACATCATATAGAAAACATTTCAGCCACATGTAAAGCACTTTGCTAACGGAGAGTGGTCTGAACCCTAAAAAACAGATGAAATCAGCATTTAATAAAACTTTTCAAAATAATCTCTTCATTAATTTGTTTGCTTACAAGGGCGCTGAGGCACTGGCACAGGTTGCCCAGGTAAGATGTGGCTGCCCCATCCCTGGTGCAGTGTTCAGGGCCAGGTTGGACAGGGCTTGGAGCAACCTGGCCTAGTGGAAGATGTCCCTGCCCATGGCAGGGGGTTGGAACTAGATGATCTTTGAGGTCTCTTCCAGCCCAAACCATTCCATGGTTCTGTGAATTCCAGCACATTTTTACTGCACCTGCAACTCCCAAGATTAACAGTCACAGTGCTAGGGACCATCCAAAAGAAATTAAGTTATAAGAGTCTAATTCTGAACTCTTAAGTCAGGTTGCAAGTGGAATTTTTTTTTAAGCGTTGCAAAACAAACTTTTAAATTAACGTATTAATGATTTGGGGTTTTATTAGTATTTTTTTAAGATTAGCTATGTCTACATTGTTGTAAAAGAACCTTCTGACATACAAGTCTTTTGCCCTCAGAAATCTCATAGTTGCATCTAAATAGTCTGCTGGAAGTTTTGAAACAGAATTAGTCTATTCCTATTTCAGCTTTTCCATTTAAAGAACCAATTCTCTATTTCTGTCCCATTTTTCCTCATGTTTTTTGATTCACACCTTACTACCAAGAAAACACACAGCTGTAGATTAAAGGTTTGTTAGACAGCACTGAACAAGAATAAGCCCTTATTTCAGCTTGCTTCAAGACATTTAATTTTTTAAAAGAGTTTCATGGCAGGATTTTTTTCCCGTTTTCTTTTTTGAAAAACCCTCAGTACAGACTTTCTGAACAACTGCAACAATTTCTAACAAGCACCAGTTTTCAGAAAACCTTAAGGAATTGGGCATTTTTGGCACAATGCGCAGCTTTTCTCCTGCTCAGCATGAAGAACAGTTCGTAACAATGTATTACGTTAATAACCCTTTTATTAACTTTGTAGCTACTCTTAACTGCATCAGAAAAAACGTTGGTAGTCAGTTTAACAGAAAAAATGATTACTGAGAAAACTTTAACAGCTTGCTCCAGTGCCCAGCACATGCTTCCTCCTCCCTCCACGTACACCCGCAGTTTAAAGGATTCAGTCTTACTGAATATTTATCTTCCATTTTATTATAGCAAGATATTTTCTAGTATACAATTTCTACTTAAGTTCATCAGTACTCTCTGCACTTGGTAATATAACAGATATACTTTTATATATATACACATACAGGTTTTTTAAAAAATGGTCATGTAAGAGGTTGTATATAATTATTTTCAACTGGTCCATAAAAAGAATAATTCCATATACAGAAACTAGAAAATAAACCCAGCACAAACCAGATGTACCAAGTAGTACATATTAAAATAATTACCACAGTAATTGAAAATTCTTTATCTTAGTCCTACAATAATCAGTTAGCCAGAGGCTATTCCACAGTCTCTGGGATTTCTCTGTCATCCACAATAAGGGTATGAATAATTCCTTCCTTTCGTTTCCCACTACTGACAGCCTTAATGCAACAGCTGTGATCACCAACACTGAAGTGAGTTTCAGTCCCATCTTCTACAAACTCACCCTGGGAGAAAGGAGACAAGAATAAAACCAAACACATGTTACTTTAGTAAAGTAAAAAGCTCAAGTGCATCAGACTGTTTCCAAGGTCAAGATCCCTCCTGGTTCCCACAATTACAGCAGCTGTGGGTACCTGTGACAAATACAGTGCAAATGCTGAACAAAACTGTGGAATCTCAGACTGGGGCTTGGTCGAGGCGTCCAGTTAAAGATTTGTGGCTATTAGGAGGCAATCAAAATTTCACATGATCAGAAGTGGTAAAACCGAAGCTTGTGAATCAATATCGTTGATCCATGTCAGTAAAACAAAAACAGGAAAGAAAGATTCGTTCTGAGTTGTGTAGTACAGTCAGTAAGTACCACACACTGAGGCTGAAGTGGTAGCAAAACATGAAGTATTCAGTGGTGCCACCCGCAGCACGATGAAGAGATCCCTGACTGGAGTGCAAGAGTTGCATGGTTCAGATACACACCTCCTGCTGCAATTATGTGATTTCCCATTACGGATTTTGCCACAGACGGCTGTGTTTTTGTCATGAGCTTCTGATTATGACATTTTTTTCATGATCTTCTGATTTTTCATCAGAAAAATCTGTGTGCTGCTCTAAGGCAAGCACAGTTTCACAACGAAACCTGTACATGTAGCTTGCATGAATATCTCCTAGTGCATTTATTACATCATGGGAAAGGCTGAGAACCATCAAGAACAGAAGTTCTGATTCACTGAGAAAGGATGTTTCTTCCACTGATTATCAAAGAAACATCTGGTGAATCTTTTCATCCTGTTTTCAAGCATAGTAAACCTGTTGATTTTACAGTTTGTACTCATCCAGGGGCTTACTTGTGGCAGTAGTAAACACAGTGACAGCTCTCTAGTGAGAAAGCACACCCTTTGAGAATGAGGAAGCCTACATAGTATGCATACTGAAAGCCATTTATATCACAGTATAAAAAGACACCAAACAGAGTAAGCCTTCTAGCTGTCAACCTGATCTAACAAATGATGCAGATGTGACAGAAAGACAAAAAATTGTATTTGTTTCAATGAGACTATTAAGTCCTATCTTAGGGACCATCTCTAGATGGAAAAAAATCCTGAGTCAGACTACATGTGTTTAACTTTCAGTCACTGCTAACATGAGCAGGTTTGGAGGTGGTGGCTCCACACTCTGCATTACACTCAAGTCCCTCTCACTCCCCTGAAGGTTTTCTTGTAAAAACCCTGGACAACCAACCCAGATTCATTTTGCTTGTCTAAAAAGTGTAAAAAAAAAGCATTGTTTACCCTTAAATAGCTAGATGTTTGGCATCCTAATTCAAATACTGTCAGTTATAAGATACAGCGAAGGTCATTCAGAACAGACTCATAGTGTACTGCCTGTCCAGGTCTATGCTCGTACTCTGTGCTAAAGTGAGGTAACATGCCCCTCTGTGGCTCACTTTGCTAAGCTTTGGTTTCCTAGCCATAGCCTGTGAAAAACCTTTGGAGATGATCACCTACCGCTGTTTCCATTTTTTGACCATTGCACCACACATCCATAGTGTCCTTTTCTGTGAAGGAGACGGAAAACAAAAAGTAGAAAGAACAAGATTATTTTTTTCCCCCCTTACAGACAAGAAGATCTAAGAATTTTAAAGATTTACTGTGGAATTTTACTTTCAGTACCCAAAACAAGCTCCTTGTTAGCCATAGTACCCAGGCTACAGCGTTTGTTCTCATACTGGAGAGATGGGTGGCTCTGGCATCAACTGGCAAACAAATCTTGCTATCAACATACATTTTTACCTTTCCCTAGCCCTGGCTACTGTTCTGGATTGGTCTGAATATTGTCAGAGATATTCTGACATTCTTAAACTGAAGAACTTGAAGAAAGAAAAACTTAGTAACTTCTGCTCATTATTCGAGTGCTGCTCATTCAGTGAAGCTCTAACATCTTTTTCCAGGTCAGCTTAATTCAAAAGCAGCTTTATTTAACATTCATCAAACTGTATTATTAAAATCTCTTTGAAAACGTAAGTACCACTTTAAATATCAATCTTAGATTTTTTTCATTTGAAATGAGCATATTTTTTTACCTCTCCCAGTACATCCTCCTTAAATACTTTGCTCTAGAATTCACATTACTGACACTGTCATCCACAGGACATCACTA